CAATATGGCATTTGACTCTGAAATCTATTTAACCCAACAGTTGTTTGAAAAAGTTCTTTAAGACGGCGATTTTGTTGAAACAACAAATCTTTTTAGTAAAGAAATATTTTCTGATCATACTTTCCAGAGTCCAGATTATGGAACAGACATTTTTTTTTCTGAAGATCATGACAATCTTTTAAGGTAGTTAGAAAAAAAAAACAAAATGCCCGACATAATTTTTAAAGAAGGTCTAAAAATTATTGCTGGATATGTAGCTTATAGATTTAAATGCGAATATTCAAATTGAATGTTGGGTACAACGACAAAATTTTGCCAAACATCCCATGCCTCCGATTAGATCGAGTTTATATCTAAAAGGCAACTTTGTATATCCAAGTGAAGAAATGTTAGAACTAGCCCGTTTAGTTGAAACCGAATTTAGTCGATTTCATAATAACTTCTTTTCGAAGAAATCAAATATTTTTAGAAAATTATTAGATAAAATTAGAGCAGGTTCTGTAGAAGCAATAAAACAATTTCAAAAAAAAATTATATTGTGTTTAATAAAAACTAGAACCTATATCAGATTGAGATTGAGAATAAAAAGTTAGCTTTGAAAAATGTGGGCAAAAACTGCCAAAAAATGTCAGAATTTACAAATATTGAATAAGTTAGTTTTGTTATTAGTTTTTTATTTATAATATTGTATTTTTTGTTTATTATGTTTGTTTATGTACTTGTATTTTGAAAAAACCCACAACCCTAGCAAGTTTCTTGCAATTTCTTCTTGCTAGGTGTAATCTAAATTGCGGATTTTTCACATTAAATCATTTTAAGTATCATTTTCTTTTCTTTTTCTGACTTATATACACTGGGATGACCATATATGTACAGCATTTCGCTTTATTGTACATACAAGTTTACAAAGTTTATTCAGCATTTGATCTTGTACAGCTAAACGCTCAAGGTGAAACGCCATTATTGTCCTTCGAATCCCAGACCAGACCATGTGGATTTTTAATTAAATTGCATGGTTCGGTATAGGATTTGATGTGTGTCGTATTAATGGAAATTCAATTTCTGTTGATATGACATGCAGATTAAAAAAAATCGCCCTGCATTACCGTCTCGATGATGGTGGGTGAAGTTTTCCGGGTTTTCCTCACCTGTAAGTCAATCTTCTTTAAGTCGCCCCAGAGCGCCACGGCAAATAATAATAGCCATCCCTTTCTCCGCGCAAGCTCAGCTTTTGGGGTTAAAATTCACTGGTAAGGGGGTGAATTAGGGAGAGTATTATTATTAATGTAATACATAATTTATTGAAACGTAACAAATAAAAAAAAAACGTAATACATGACTCTCTCCATCTCTCTGTACATACCATGACTTTGAAAACGATTGCGACATATCTTTTTTATTTTTTAAACTTTTGCGCTTAAGCAGCTTTTGATTTCACACGTTATCACCATTTTAATATAATTGTTTATATTATTATATTACAATAAAATTTGACTATTGTCGTCTAACTATATAATTGGATTTTTCCCTCTGGTACAGAAGCGTCATCTTAATTTTATACATTTTGAGAGACACTTTTTGTATACACAGATAGTTTTCTTTACATTTACACTCCATAACATTTTCCTAGTACCTAAGTGATTTTACAATATTTACTTTATGATGTCTAGTTTTGAATTTAAATATGACTCTATCCGATCAAACCAGTAGCACGTCAAATAGCAACGTTTTTTTGTAAAAAAAAAAAAAAAATAAAAAAAATAAAAAAAATAATAACAAAAGCGAGAATAAGAATAACCTGCGATTTTCTTATACTACTGCATGCAATTTCGACAGAAATACTCGTTGCTGACGTCACAGTTCGGCGTCTGTCTGCGCGCGAGCACACCATCCTAAATCCCACCACGCTATACACCGATAATTTTCATAGATGTACAATATTCTAAAAATAATATTTGCAAATGCAGGAAACAAAATATTTGCTGTATCTGTTCCTGCACCTGTATGGCACAGAAAAACTGCAGAAATAGTTTGACCACAGCCGCTAATGTTTTGGAAAATGTTGATTCGTGTGGTGAATCTGATTCTGATTAGTTTGAAAGTCTTGTAGTTATAAATTTTAATATTATTAATTTATGCTTTATATACTTCCTTCCAATTATTATTATTATTATTATAATTTATTTATATTGGGAATTTATTGTATTTCGCAGAGCAATAGCCTTACTGTTTATAATCGATACTTATAATATACTGTATTTATACCTTCAATAAATAGTTTATATTTTTTTATTTTTCGTTTTCCTCCAAGAATAAAAAAAAATCCTAAAGTAATTAATACACTCTATTATTCATAGTGGATAAATCAATAATCCCTGTATAAAATAATATAAGAGAGTCAAACTGATTGCATACATTTCAACACTGAGAGAGATGCATAGAGGGTCAAGAGGCTCTGCCTTTAATGTTTGCTTTCTAGTAAAACCATGACATCACTAATTGTTTATTGCTATATTTTTGTTAATTTTAAAGCAAAAAATATGGGGAAAGTACTTACCTTGGCGAAACTTTTATGAAGAATATTTTTTTTCATTTAGGCCTTCGTCAATCGTCAAATGAGAGGTATATTTCTAAAAGAAGATTTTTTATACAAATTTGTAGACGGTTGAAATTGAGATATTGACGTTTAAGTTTTTTTTCGACCACAAGGGCTAATGTATATGATTTTTTTTTAAATAATTATAAAAAAATACTTCCTACAAAGATCTAATTGAGCATTAGAACAAAAAAAATAAGCATTTTTTTTCTATACGGTGGTATCAATAACTCGATTTTTTATGATAATGCCCTTTTACACAGTCTAATTTTGTATTACCTCCGGAATAAGGGTTAGCTTATCATGTACTTTCATCCATGAAAAATTCAGCTAGTGACACCGAAGTGGGAGGCAAAGTCAAAATAAGTTTTAATCTACACCATACTATCGTAATATCCTACTCGCACAAGTCAACCAACGAGCATGTGACAACTTGGCAGGTTTCTTTTGCAAGGTCTTCTGAAACTTTTTCAGACGCTACAGCTAGACTAATCTCTAATAAATATTTTTGATTTGTGCTCAAAGTGGTTGGATATAATGTTATATTTTTAGAACTTATATTAGCATATATTTTAGCAATAAAATACCAATAGGACCAAAAATACTTTTTGATTCTGTTGTTCTACCGTCTAATTTATTAATTTAATGTCGAAGAGGAAGTTTATTTACATGGATTTAACTCAATCAATCTTAGTGTCCCACCCTTCGTGCCGGTATTGATCACAGTTTCATCACATTCTAATGCTACAAGTTGTGACAGATCGGTGTTTGATCTAAGATAATATTGGATTAAAAGTTTTTTTAAGGAGAACGTAATTTTTGAAATATTTGCTTTTTTCTCTCATGCGGACCCTGAAGATGATCGAAAATTGAGTAAATATGTTTTTTTTATTAAACTGTACAGTTTTTATCGAGGTTTGTGACCTAATGCGTAAAGCAAGTAAAAAAAACGTTGCTAACTCGATTAAAAAAACAGATTTTTTTAATGTTTTGCCATTCTTTGTGTTACATACGGACCCTGAAGATAATCAAAAATTTAGTAACTCTTTTTTTATTATTAAACTGTATATTAATGAGCAACTTTTGGTGCCTAATGTGTAGTAACTCAACCAAATAAAAAAAAAATTCGCTCCACCCTAATATACATCTCGCTGTAAACACATATTAAAAAAAGTAATTTGTTTTCGTTTTACAAACCGAAACGTTACCAATGGACCACCATGTATATTTATCAGATGGCTTTACAGTTTTTAACCTTCATCCTAAATCTCCTATCTCTTTGTGGCCAACCATCTTATACTTGGGCACGTGCCCTAGTATATAATAAACAAAAAAAAAAAATAACTCAATGCCTATTATTATTTTATCTAATATTCAGCGCAAACTGCGTTGGCACGACACTGGACGACCGGGCGTTGAGCGACGTTCCGAGAATTCCTAAAGAAGATGGACACAGGGCACAGTAAATGTGTGCCTCTGTTATTTTCTCTCTAATTATGATGCGTAAAATAAGGACAACGACAATATCGCTTAGCAAGAGATGAACACATGCGATGGATTATACGTCACAAGCAGGGCGCTGTCCTAGACCAGATATGAATGTACGCAGAGGCAACTTCTATCCGGCTGGCTCTCTCACAAAGGTGATGTCGGTTTCGGCTGCAGGTGCGCGTTTGTTGGACCATGATAATAATTTATTTATTCAAATATATGATGAAAAAGAATCAATAATATTCATAAATGGGACAAAAATTTTATTTTTCTTTTGGTTTTGTCTGACTTTTTCGAGGATTTCAAATCTCTGTTTGCATATTTAAGTCCTATAAATAATTTAATGGTGTACATTTTCGCAAATTGTTGGCAAGGATGACGAAATTCTATTTTGCTCATCTCAAAAAGGTATGCGTTGGAAATTCCAGGCTTAGTTGACAAACTATCTAATAGAAATATAAATATTTTTTCTAATTTGAATATATAAAAGAGAAATTTTTCGCTGGGAGATTTTAAATTGCCAAACACCTTTTCTTCAGAGTCGTATGCTTTAAAATGCGTTAACAAGTTAGAATTGTTAAGTAAATTGCATTCTTCTGAGAAATTTACGCAAATTTCGCAAGAGTGGATATGTAATGATTTTTTGATTAAATAGTCACATACATAGATAAATGCATTTTGAGTGGTCACATTTAGCTCCCTGTAGTCACATTCAGAAATCGTTATTGCCCCAACTGATTGTTTTGAAATATATTTAATTTTCATTAAGCGGAGAACTTGTTTTTCTAAGGGAAAAACGAATCCCGGGATTCTTTTCCAGTATGTGCCCCACTGCCGCTAGTGCCCACGAGCCGCCACTGAATCTGGATCATTGATCTCTTTTATAAGGATTTTATATCAATAAAAATAAATAATAAATAATTAACAATTTTATTTATTTTATGGTCAACAAAACATAAAACATCTTTATACAACAAAGAAGCTTTACATCATCATCTTCATCATCATCATTCTTTGGTAGTGTTGTTTCAACATATTGAATTCTTGAGGAAGAATTTGTCCTTGTTCCATCATGCGTTCCAAACCGACAAGGTGGTTTAATACTTGTTGGGGTACAACTTTTCCTTGGGTCCATTGTTGGGGAACAACTTCATTTTGCATCCATTGTTCAGGAACAACTTGTCCTTGGGTCCATTGTTGGGGAACAACTCCATTGTGCATCCATTGTTGGGGAACAACTTCACTGTGCATCCATTGTTGGGGAACAACTCCACTGTGCATCCATTGTTGGGGAACAACTCCACTGTGCATCCATTGTTGGGGAACAACTTGTCCTTGGGTCCACTGTTGGGGAATTACTCCACTTTGCATCCATTGTTGGGGAACAACTTGTCCTTGGGTCCAATGTTGGGGAACAACTTGTCCTTGGGTCCATTGTTGGGGAACAACTTGTCCTTGGGTCCATTGTTGGGGAGCAACATTATTGAACTTAAGTTTCTGGATAAGTTTTTGGAATCCCATAACTTGCATTTGTGGTACTTGTTGGGAGTATTTGTTGTATCCTTGTTTCATGTTATCTTGATTAAGAACGTTCCCGGTCATGGTTTCTTCTCCCAAGGTTTGTTCCATTTGATGTTGTTGTTTGATGTGTTTGAGTAGCATTTGGACGGGGGTTAAGTGTTCGACATTCCTAATAAGAAGAACCAATATTAGTAATACATACTTCAAGTAGAGTATTTTTAAATTTAGAATAACAGTACAAACTGTGTACTCACCATAAGCCTTGGGCTCCGTGAGTTTTGTATTTAAGATATTCTTGGAAAGTCATGGGAGTCAAATATTCAGGTACAATTTCTTCATCAGGCATGACATCTCTGAAAAAAATAAATTTTTATTACAAGAAAATATTTGCAAATGTATAAGTTAAACATTATTAGTATTGTTATTGTAAGATACTAGTTTCTTCACTAAATATGAAGAAATTTACTTTCGTTTATTTTTTATAATTTTAGATATAACCTTTAAAAGTATAAGTAACAAAATATTTTCTTACCTAACTCCGTGCACAAGTTCACTTTCAAGGGGGTATACAACATCTTTAGTCATCATTTTTGGTAAAACTTCTTCCATAACTTCACCGTTTCCCATGATTTGATGTCCACTCTTCAATTCTTCAATCATGTATAAGTGTTCCAAATTCATCAAAACATCGTATACGGATTCGTGGAGGTGTCCAGACTTAACCAAAGTTTGGATGTGTTCCAAAATCGTTTGGAAAGTTGGTTCTTCTACAATACCTTCGTGTTGACGGAAAAGGTGAGCGAGTACATCAGCTTGAGTAATTTGTTCCATTGGGGTGTTGAAGTAGGTTGAGTGTTGGAAGAGTCTGAGTTTGTCGAGCGTGTTGACGTTGACGTCCATCATGTTGTTGGTTTCATCTACTTCCACCTTCCTGGTGAATCCCATGGGGCTTCTGAGGACGATGTCTACTTTTCTTGGGTTGAAAAGATTTTTGTAGATGAGGATTTCCCTACCTTGAGTGCCGATGATGGTAACAGTACCATCTTGCCCTACTGTGACATGTTTGCCACTGGAAAGCTGGGTAGCGAAGCAAAGAGCTACGAGAGAAAGAAGAACTAGTACCTTCATCGTTGTGCACTGTTAGTAAATGTGCCTTCTGGTTAAATCAGTTGCTGTTTTATAGTAAAATTTTAGACCTTGTTTACAAGTTTTTAGTATTTTATCGTGCTTGACAACACGGCTTAGAAATAATCTCAAGGCGTAGGTCATTGCGTAAAAAAAGGTATAGATAATAGATAAATAAAAATATATTGTAAATTTGAATTGACCCCTCGATAGTAATATCGCAATGATAACGATTAAACTAATATTAAAATATTAAAGGTGAATGGGGTTCAAATTCGTACCACGCAACGAATAAAACAAAAAAATCATAATGGATAAGTTTTAGAATTATTATTAAATAATTTGAAAATAATACAAGTTAAACAAACGCCAATAATTTTAGAAGATATAAAAGTAATTTTTATTTGAATTTAAATTTAAATTGTATCACTGTTAAATCAAATTGCATTTATATTTCTACGAACCGTAATAATTAATATATTTTATTAATCAAGTATTATTTGATATTATTACTTTATTAAATAAAGTAGAATTTTAAAATTCTTGGTCAATATTCAAAAATCGAAATAAAAATAAAAACTAGACAGTACATTAATGAAAGTAATATATTTTGGTGACTTACAACATTAGAGAGATTGGAGCACCTTGAATTAAATAATAAATATACAGTGGCTGCAAAAAATAACGCATAAATTCGTTATTAGCTAAATAATTAATACTATTAAAAATTCCCAGAACAGGTCAATTTATTATTTTAATTTAGTATTTTTTAAAATATCAATCTAATATACAGGATGATCTACCATCGATTGATGACGTCATCATGAATTTTTTATTCATTCTTTTTACAATTTCCGGATTTCCCTTTTCCAATTACCATAATTTCTTTACACAGTAGTCTATTAAGAGCAGTATAGGTTTATTTTCGAGAAACAATTTTTTTTAATATTATTCTAAATTTAAAATTTTTTGTATCAAAATCATCAAATTTTAAACAACTTTTAAAAATGCCTGTTCGTCTGAGTCACGTTTTTTGTCCGCACGAAAGCACAAAAACGAAAAATAATATCAACCTGAAATTTTTAGCAAAAATTAATCTTTATAAAGGGAGAAAGCTTATTGATTTTGAAAAAAATTGATTAAAAATTGGGGAGTTTATAAATCAAATCAAAAACGAAAAGCGATATCAACATGAAATTTTCAGTAAAAATCAAGCTTTATCAAGGTACTTATTGATTCTGTAAAAAAAAATCTAAATAAATATGGGGCTAAGGGTAGTTGAAATATAAAAAAAAATCATAACTCAGAAACAACTTGAAATCTTCAGAAAAAATCAAACCCTACAAGGAGCTGAAGTCTATTGATTCTGAAAGAAATCTTAATAAAATTGGGTAAGGGGGTCTATTAAACTGTAAAAAGTATAATATAGAATGCCAAGCATTCTAGTTTATGATTACGTTTTAGTTTTTAATTAAACACGACTAGAAATTATATATTAAATTAAATATTAAACAACTACTTTAAGTTAATATTTATTTTGAAGTTTAAAGGTTAATTTCATCCTGTTTAAAGGGTCAGAAGGGATTTTTACTTACAGTGTACTTTTGTCAGTGTATTTGTGATTTTTTAAATGTAAAATCAAGTTGGGATTTAATCGTCTACAAAGGGTTATTATTTATTTTAAAGTTTAAGGGTTAATTTCACCCTGTTTAACGGGTCGGAAGGGATTTTCGCTTACAGTTTACTTTGATGAGTGTATTTTGGTTTTTTTAAATTTGATATCAAGTTGGGATTTAATCGTCTTCATAGGGTAATTATTTGTTTTAAAGTTTAATGATTATTTTCATCCTGTTTGAAGGGTCGGAAAGAATTTTACCAAGTTGGGATCTGATCGTCTTCATTGGGTTAATATTTATTTTGAAGTTTAAGGGTTAATTTCACCCTGTCTGACGAATCCGAAGGGATTTTTGCTTAAAATGTATTTTGAAATGTTTACCTATAGCGAATGTTAGTGTATTTATGATTTTTTAAATGTAAAATTAAATTGGGATCTGATTTCTTTCATAGGATAAATATTTTTATCAATTTTAAGGGTTATTTTGAACCGTATGTTAATTATTTGTCGATATTAATGTGTAAAATACATATTGACAAGATTATTAAAATAGTTGTATGCCGGATGCCACTGTTTTCCCGATCGGGTGTTTTCGTTATTTTTACTGCTAAAAGTTATTGCTAACTTCACATCGGTCTGTCTTATACGCAAACTTATCACAAGGGACAAAATCGCATAGATTCGCGAACGCAAAATTCCGGAATTTTTGAGAAATGGTATTAGCTATCTATTTTTTATATACAAATCAATGATTTTCTTCATTTAGAATTTTACATCAATCTGTTCTACTAATAAAATAACAATACTGATACAATCTTTATTCTAATGAAAGATCCAAACAAAGATCAATATTATTGAATAAAATCACAAGTGACTGATTCTTCGTAATGGGTCTAGGATAAATTCCCGACAACAATTTGGGACTGGAACATTCCTCGACAGGAAAATTACTCGAAAAATACAATAAATTAAAAAGAAAAAAAATTCTTGATAAAAAGTTTAACATTTCATGATAATACGTAATCAAATTTGTAAAATGTTATGTTTAAAATAATTATTTATCATAAAGAGCAAAGCACTCTTAAATATCAATACAGAGCAAAGTATTAATTGAAAATGTTGATAGGAATTAAAAAAATATGATAAAACCAAACTCATTACACATATTTTTAAGTGATTTCGATGTAATTTATTCAATAAATAATCAAACCAATGCTAAAATGTGTACCAACTAGAAATGTTTGAATTTTTATCAAATTTGACTCGATCATGAATTTTCAAGGAATGCAGAACTTTCTATCAAGATTTTTTTTTTGTAGCACAAAGGGTAGATTTTTTTTTTATAAGGAAATTTATAAAAAGAATTGGACAAAAATAAAAAATCTTTCATATGGTATCTACAGGGTGTCCAGGAAAATGTGGGAGGTCTCTCGGATTCAGATTAAAAAATTAGATGACAAGTTTCCATAAATTTTTTTCCTGGCGGCCCTCCCTACGGAGATATGGCCTCCAAACGGACGCCACTGGAAATCAATTTTTCTTGAATAATTACGTAATATAATTTAATAAAAATTTAATATGATAAACAGTAGTAAGAACTTCTTAAAATACTACCTTTAAAACATAATTATCTTGTTTAGTTTACCAGGGGCGGACTAGGTTGTACATTTTAATGCTTACATTTTTAACACCCTGTATGATAAGGAGTTAAAAAAAATAAATTTCGATAACTTGAACATAAGCATAAGGCTCCTTCATCGTCGATAAAATGAACCGTTTTCGAGAAAAAGAAACCATTATTTTCAATTTTTTTTTTGTCTGCAGCAATGTATGATACGAAAGTCATTGAAATAGAACTTTTATCAGTAATAAAAAACGCACTGTTTTTACAAACATTACTATGGTACAAAATAAATAAATGAATAATTGCATTGACCTATGCATTTTAAATCTTGTTGATACGTTGATCTTTTAGTACTCCGATATTAATTTATTGAATTTTAAATATCTTGGTAAATTTAATTTAATGGGATACACATTTAGTGAGTATGCAGATATGCATCTTATGTACGGTCTTGAATCTTGCACTGCTTTTGAAGGAAGAAGGTTGTACGAGGAAAGATATCCTAATCGCAATATTCCAAATGAGGAAACATTTCAGCGACTTGACCAACGTCTAAGAGAGACTGGTGGGCGATTCCCACTTAATAAGTTAATACGGTAACATTATTGACTTTTGTTTAATAATTTTTAGGAAGTTTTGGGAAAACAAGTACTGATGCTTGTGTGACAAGCAATTGGAGAAAAATATTTTAGATACTGTAGCTGATACTCCTTCAATAAACACTCGAAGATTAGCTGCGCAGCTCCATGTGCCAAAAACGACAATTGCTGAAGTACTTGAAGAACAGTTGTTATACCCTTATCATCAACTACTTCCTGAAGATTTTCCTCGAAGAATCCAGTTCGCAAACTGGCTGCTAGATCAGCAACGAACAAACGGAAACTTCATTAGCACTTTTCTTTTTACCGATGAGGGTTTACCAAAAATGGTATTGTAAATTTACATAACGCGCATGTACGGGCTGATAAAAACCCTCATGCCACTGTTGTTCATCATTATCAACATCAGTTCCAATCAACTAATGTTTTGGCAGGAATAATCGGCAATTATTTGATTGTACCATGCGTATTGCCGCCACCATTAAATGGTAAACTTTATTTACAGTTCCTTCAGAATGCTTTTCAGCATTCAATAGAGCATTTGCCACTTGAAACCCGCTGAAGCATGTTTTTTATGCATAATGGAGCCCCACCTTACTCTAGCGTCGCTGTACGGGACCACCTGAATAACGTCTATCGAAACCGTTGGATAGGCAGAGGAGGTCCAATTGCCAGGCACCCACTGTCTCCCGACCTAATGCCAATGTATTTTTACCTGTGGGGTCATCTCAAAACCTTGGTGTATTACTCTCCGGTTGATACTAGGGAGGAACTTTTACAGAGAATCACATTTCATTGTGATGTGATAAGGAACAATGCTGGGTTGTTGTGGCGAGTACAGTACACCTATATTCGTCAGCCCCTCGAGTGGATCAGAGTTCACGGAGCACATGTTGAACCCACTTATAAAGTTTTTAATTGATTATTTCTAATTAGTGTATTCAGTGGCGGCTCGTGGGCACTAGCGGCAGTGGGGAACACACTGGAAAGGAATCCCGGGATTCGTTTTTCCCTTAGGAAAACAAGTTCTCCGCTTAATGAAAATTAAATATATTTAAAAAAAAATATTACAAAATTAAAGACTTATTGCTAGGTACCGCTGCAGTTGTTATAGTTGAACTCCATTCTTCTGGATTTTTGGCTAGCGAAATGATCGATGACCAGATTATTAAAATTTGGAATGGACCGAATAAGTTTTTTTTTCGA